GGGTGACGGAGCCACAAAGGATTACTCAAAGCCCATCTCTTCTGAGCAGTGAGAGACCCTGAAGTGGTTGATCTCCCCGCAGAACCCTCAAGCGACAGGCCTCCCTTCCTTGGGAAATTAACCCCAAATTGGGGTTCTCTTCCTGCATTTATTCTCCAGACCAGGAAGTTACAGGAAGAGAACATAGGTGGGGTTATAGTTTAGCAGTATAGGCTGGTAACTTTCAGTGAAACAAGTCAGATGACATTCCCTTAGAAAATTAAGTGATCCGTTAACAAAAGCTTGATCTTAGCAAACATTCCTTCTATCTTAGCAAACATTCCTTCTCCCTCCATCAATTTTCCAGTATCTACACATATCAATCAGTAACTAGTCTGTCCTTGAGCCAGAAACCTTGCTGTGCCACAAATCTTTATCTTACACCAGTAACTTTATAGCTTGAGGGAAATTTCCAGTCCTCCGCAAGGTCAATATTTGAAACTGCAAGACTTTGGAAAACCAGGCCCTGTGAAGTTCATTTGCTTTAAGAATCTTCTACATATAAATATTAGAAGAGTCTGGATAGGCTGTGAGAGGAGAACAAACCTTTCTGCTTTCCTCTCCAGCTTTGCTCCTTGTGCCAGATTCTGAGGTTACAATTGGTGGATATTTGGGGATCCTCTACATATGAACCTTGTAAAACTTGGTGTTTGCATGAATAATATACCAGACTTCTTTCAGTCCTAGGGACATAAATCTCTACTGTTTTCCTGCTTGGCCATCAATTATTGCATATTCATTACGTGCCAAGTGAGCACATTACACACACCAGCTTTTCATCCTCGAACAAACCTTCGAGGTAGGCATTTTTGTCCTGTGACCAGCAGAGGAAACTAAGTTTGAGAAGCACAAACTTGTGCAGTGCAGAAGTGGAGAGGCTGAGATCACAGCCTCTGTCCCCTTGACCCACAGCCTGGGCCCTTCACTGCCACACCACATGGCCTCATCCTCTGCCAGTCAGTTTGGGCTCACCTGGGCCTTCTCTGAGAGGGCAGTGGCTTTCCTGTGTGTTGTAACATCCTGCAAAGAGAGGCCAGGGGGCTCTGGCAAACCTGGGTCCAACAGATGCCCTGGACCTCATCCAGAGCTCACCCAGGGAACTTCGAATTGTGGAATTCAAGGATCCAGAAGACAGAGATGGTGCTGGAAGTTGAGAACATCCCCAGGAAATTGTGTCAAAGCCCAGGTTCTATGCTGTCCCCAGAATCGATGCCACAAATGCTGTTTTAGCTGGCTTGGAAAGGAATGGGTAAGGGTGCGAATGTCCCCCATGGGACTCTTGTAAGTCTCCCGGTTTTGAAAACCTTTGCCTGAATTAGCATTTTCCAAAGATTTTTCTGGAATACTAATAGATATTTTTTTAAAGGGGTTGGCAGCGGGGATTGCTCCATGTCTACACAAGTATAGGTTTCTACCTTGGACCTGCTGCTTTCTAGATTATGATCTTACTCATCTGTCCTTCAGTCTTCTCATCTGTAAAGTGGGATAACAACAGTGCCTACCTCATAGGGGCACTGTAAAGCATTGAAGCAAAGCCTGGCACATTGCAAGTACAAAAACAAAAACAAAAAATCTATTATTTGGAACATGCTAGATAAAACATACATTAACAAATGCTTTCTTGTAAGGCTTTCCCAGAGCTGCTAACATGCTCTGTAGTTTTAACCAGGCTTTGGAAGGGAGTGAAAGTAAACTCTCAAATACATAAAGGTTGAGTAGAGCTTGCAGCATTTCCCACACATATTTGACCAACATCCTGCTTTAGAAATGTACACAGAGCACTCCACTGGGGGAAGCTGGAAGATGAACAGAGGGATACAGGACAAGCATCCAGTGGTGATGGATGACTCAGAAGTTTGGACATCGACCGGTGACTGATGTGAAGCCAGGTAAGCAACTCGAGTTATCTTCCAGGGTGCTGATGTGGAAGGCAGGGAGCCCCTGGCTCCAGCTGAGCTCTGGAGGGTGAGTGAGGGCTGCCATGGGGCACAAACCTTCAGCAGTTCCACAGCTCTCATGGCCTACAGAAGACACTTCCTACCACCCATCTCCAGTCCTCTTTTCTGCCCTCCTCCCCTGGCAACTGTTCAGGTCTCTGCCCAGATGTCATTTATATGAGGAGCCTCTCCCACCCCGCTAATTCAAGGGCCCCCCACTGCTCCCCCAGCATTCCTTGGCAAGTACAAACTGCCGGGCCAAGGAGGGGACAGACCAGGTGGGTGTGGATGAGACTGAACGAGGTGGTCACACGATGCATCAGAGCCTCTGGAATCCTAAACAAATCTGACCCCCTCCCTCTAGATTCCCAAGGTTCCCCATGTATGGCGGCCAGTCCCCAATATGGCCCCCTATGATTGTCCCCTCCTTGTTTCATATCCTGTGTAGTCCCCTCCCACACTAAATAGAGCTGACCTGTGTAACCATAGAATATTGTGGACATGAAGCTGTGTAGTGTCCACGCTAGGTCATAAAAGTCACAGTGGCTTCTGCCTTGCTCTCTTGGCTCACTCACTCTGGGAGAAGCCAGCTGGCATGTCATAGGGACACTCAAACCACCCCTCAGAGAGGCCCAAGTGGCAAGGACCCGAGGCCTCTGGCCAAGAACCAGCATGTGAGTGAGCCAGCTTGGAAGGGGATCCTCCAGCCCCAGCTGACATCTTCACTGCAACTTCATGAGAGACCCCCCAGCCAGAACCACTCAGCCAAGCTAGTCCCACATTCACAACCCAGGGAAACTGAGATGATTTTTGTTGTTTTAGGCTGCCAGGTTTGGGGTAATGTGTGACCCAGCAATAGATAATTAATACACCATTGGCCCACAGGATAAATTCCAAGCTCCCTGGCTTGGCATCCATGACTTCTTGTGACGCAGCCCCTGCCTTCTTGTGTGGCCTTGTTTCTTACCACCACAAACTTTCTGCTTCCCAGACAGGAAGGCTTCCATGCCCAACAGACGACAGCTGCATCCAGCCTTCAGGTCCTCTGCTCACAAGCTCTCTCCTGAACCCCTCCTCAACACAAGCTGCCACACTCTCACACCCTCTCACAGGAGGCCTCACATGGCGGACCACTCAATGCCTCCAGGATACCTGCACCCCCTCCAACAATGATGGTTCCCACGCTTGCTGCTTCATGGTGTGCCCAGGAGCCTAGCAGGGCAGCTGAAGTGGGGCTAGTGACCACTCAGTAACCTCCACACCCAGCTGAGTTTGAGCATCCTTCCTCTCTCCTCGGGCCCCCACCCCCTGGGCCCATACCACATCCCTAAGGGTTCAGAAGTTCCACAGAGAGGTCTCATCATGCTGGGTGTCCAAATGGGAGGGGAAAGGAGATGAACCTAGGGCTCAAGTGGAACTCACAGCCCAGCCCAAATCTAGGGGTCCTAGAGCCTCCTCCCTACTCACTGGGCCTCTAGCCATGTGAGTTCCCTCTGAGGAGGGCCACAGGCCATCTCCAGCTGGATGCCTCATTCCAGGGAGGGGGTCCTCAGAGTACATGTCGAGTAGGGAGCTGGCTCTCCTCGCTGTCCCAACACCACTTTCATCCCTTGCCCACCCTGCCCTGTGTCTCCCTCCAGACACTAGCCATGGCCCCTCACCTCTCCTGTCCCTCCTAATCCATGGATATGCCTTCATAGAACAAGCCCTAGATACAACTTAACAGATAGCCATGCCGTCAAATAAAATTGTTATTTTATTGAGAATGTTTACATTGTAGTCAGCTAACCCCCAGCCACGCAGACAGCCCATGCAGAGGTCAGTACAGTAATCCATAGAGGTCCAGGCAGGGGCTCGAGTCCAGGCTCCTCACGTCAGAAGCTTCTGACTCATGAAGATGAGGCTGGACAGAACCCCACCAGTGTCTCACCTTGTATTACAGCAAAACACACCCCAATGGCATTTGGAATAGAAGAACCCAGAGGCCCTGCAGGGACACTTGCTGGTCCCACACTTGGCTTTGCATGTACACTGTCTGTGTCCCTGCACACCAGAGAGAGATGGAACCCTCGCAAGTTCACGCAGGGACCATTCCTCAGGCAAGACCTCCTTGATTGAAACCAAAGCCTCTGAGCACATTGTGAGCTGATTCCTCGTGAAAAACTGGTGAATTGTTCCCAGTCTGTTGCCTAATGGATAAAACCATCTGTCTTTGATGGAAAGGATCACACCAGGACATCTCTGACCTCAGCCTTTCCTTGTCTAAATCTGGGATGGGAATTCTGAGTGTCACCAATGCTTTGAGTCCAACTTCACCTTCTTAAATGGAGGAGGAGGCATCCTCCATGCCTGAGCCCAAGTTTCTCTGCCCACAGGACAGGTGCCCATGTGTGGTGCAGGATTCACACCTCCAGCAAAGGGAGGTCGTTGCTCTCATTCTTGGACCCACCTGTCCTCACACTCTGCAGCAGCTCCTCCAGGTCCTTCTCCATCTCCAGCTAACAGTCCATTCCACAGGGCAGCAAGGATGTCGACAGGCCCACTTTTTTTTTTTTTTTTTTTTGATAAGGAAATTTAATTGTCCAAAAATAGCAGGTTGTCAGATAAATGATGGTATCTTCATATAATCAAATATTACTATGTGGCCATTAAAAATAATAAAAATCTAGGTCCATGAAAAAATGCTCACTATATATGTGACAAAAAGTTTATTAAAAAAAACTACTAAAGTAAATATGTACACACACATGTGGAAAAATTAGTAAGATACATACCAAGATATTAACAGTAATTATTTCTTTTTTTTTTTTAACTTTTATTGAATCAAAATTGATTATACATATTTTGGGGGTTCAACATTGAGATATGCTGGAGCCGGCCCGGTGGCGCACTGCTACAGTGCGCCGCTTGGGAGCGCGGCGGCGCTCCTGCTGAGGGTTCGGATCCCACATACAGACCTGTTCCCGCTCACTGGCTGAGCGAGGTGCAGGCGCAGCACCGAGGGTTGCAATCCCGTTGCCGGTCCCAGTCCGGTACGGGCGCGACACTGAGGGTTGCGATCTGTTGCCGGACACGAAAAAAGACAAAAAAAGAAAAAAAAAAAAAATTGAGATATGCTGATCAAATCAATATTACTAGCATATATATTGTTAAAAATCGTAATTATTCTTTATGCCCCTTGTCCAATCTCTCCCCATCCCCCTCCCACCTCTGATAACCCTAGATTTCTTCTCTCCTTCTGAAAGAGTAATGGTTACTCTGTTGATCTGTTGCCTAGATGATCTGTCCAATGCTGAGGGGTGTGTTCAGGTCCCCCAGTATTATCATAGAGCAGATGCTGCTTCAGTCACTCTGAAATGGGCTTTGTAGGGACAGACATCCTCTTCTTTTCTTTATCTCTGCTGGTGACTCTCCTTGTGTCAATGCGCTCCAGTGACTGGTGGGCCATCTGCATGGTGGTTGTAGCATCTAGCCACTTTTGCAGCAACTGGTGGGCCACCCACATGGAGGTGATTTTTTGGCATGCTCCTTTGTGCTGGTGGTGTGCCTCGTTGTGGGCAGGGCATCCGGTCTCCAGCTCCATACCCCAGGCCCCAGAGCGAGGCCCCAAGGCACTGGCAGTGTGCCTGGTTGTGGGAGGGGTGGTGGTCCAGTCCCCTTCTCCATGCCTCAGGTCCCCATGCAGGCCCCAAGGCACTGGCACAGTGGGTCAACAGGCCCACTTTGATGTCATGGCCAAACATCACCTCATATGGCAAGCTCCAGATGCCCTTGTGATACACTCTGTTCTTCATCACTTGAACAAAGTGCAGCCCTTGGGTCCAGGCCCTGGTCCCCTTGGCCCACATCCAGATGGAGAGTACGTTCTGAATGTCCTGGTGGGTCCACTCCACACTGTCCAGGCTCTGGCCCAGTTGGTGTTTCCTAGTCATGATTGTCAAGCCACTCCACATGCCTTTTAGTGCACTGGTTACATCACTGGCAAAGTCTCTCCCGTTTCCAGACTGGAGAATGGAAGGAGTCCCAAAAACAAAGATGTCCAGCGACACCTGACCACATCTGCGATGCTTCTTCTGGTCAGAGGCCTCAGCTGGACGAACTTGGTCATGTGATCCTGGGAGAGCTTGATGAATCTGAACAGTCCATCAACTCAAGACTGCATGTTGGGGCCGGCCCGGTGGCGCACTGCTACAGTGCGCTGCTTGGGAGTGCGGCGGCGCTCCCACCGAGGGTTCAGATCCCACATACAGACCGGTTCCCGCTCACTGGCTGAGCGAGGTGCAGGCGCAACACCGAGGGTTGCGATCCCGTTGCCGGTCCCGATCCGGTACGGGCACAACACTGAGGGTTGTGATCCGTTGCTGGACACGAAAAAAGACAAAAAAAAAAAAGACTGCATGTCAACGAGGTCCTAGCCTCTGCAAACACCAGAGGCTTCACCACATCCCATTCTTCGTGGGGTTTAGCTTCTGACAGGGCTGGCAGAGATTTGGGTGCAGAGTGTAGCTTCCTGCATCACAATCTTGTGCTCCTTCCTCAGGTCCGCCAACATACGGTGCTCCCCTCCATGCCCAATACTGTTGTGGGCCTCACACAGCCCACTGTACATGCCTTCATTCTTAACGTAGTAATGAAAGCTGCCACTGTCTTCTAATGGGAGACAATCAGCATTTCCTCCTTCCTGATGCGAACCACATCAAATTGCTTCAGGCTGCAGAGAGAAGGAAGATGTCTTCCTTTCCAGTTTGGCATTTTTCACCTGTTTGATTACCTCGCTGTATTTGTCTCTTGTGAAATACATGGAACTGCCTTCCCTCTTTTTAGACAGTGAAAGATTAAAACAGTGATAAAACTCACTTGGCATCACACCCAAGGTCCTCCCCAGATGTTCGCAATTGGGAGCTGTAACAATGAGGGGAAACTGTAACGCAGGTACAGAGAAGGCTTCAATTTACTGAAAACACAGCCCAGTCTCCCTGCTAGGGCAGTGGGCACGTGCTGACCAGCAGTCTTGGCCAGCTAATGACAACGTGACTATCTGATTAATACATCCAAAAATGGCATTTAAAGTTGGTATCTCATCCAACTCTGATTCTACACTGAATGGCATAGATACCCAAATGTGAGGCTCTGACCATCAACCCTGGAATCCAGAGATACACCCATGGTGGCCACTCTCAGGAGAGCCCAGAGATAGCCCAAGGGTTGGGGCAGAAGAGCCACCTGCCTGGGCCCAGGAGGCCCAGCCAGCAAAAGTGTTTATCACACGCGTGTGATCTGAGGCTGAGTCTGGGAATACTTCAGCAAAGTGTGCAGAGGTGTGTAGGGAGGGCAGAGAGGAGACGTGGGCATTAGGCTCCCAAGCAAAACCTTCAAGCCAAGTTTAGCCCTGACCAATCCCCTGGGCTGAAGGAAGTATGGCTCATATTGAGGCTTCCTCTGGCAGGACCCCACAGATGGAGACAGATGCCACTAACCTAAAGGAGCCGTGTCCTGCAATGAGGCTGACCCTGCCTCCAAACCTGAACCCAAACAGGTCATGTCCTCATGGCTTTCCCATGTGCTGTCCCTGCAGGCCGCCTTCTTAGGGGCATCAGGCAGCCACCCAGTCCTCCCTCATGGAATCCAGGGCCTTGTGTACAAATGCCACCGCTGCCTGGATTGAGCCTACATCCATGACAAGAAGAGAGTCAAGGGTGTATGTCAGGAGTCCAGTGAAAACCAGCAAAAAAAGGGAGTTCAGGGTGGAGAGAGCAGGGAAAAGGGAAGAAACAAGAGGAGAGAGGGAGAATTAGCACCCAGATCTGATCAGGGGATGTCAGCAGCCATGAGGACACCCCACATAAGAGCTGGGATGCCTGGTGGGCAGTCGGGAAGTGCTGCCTCAACTAGCTCACCCACTACAGGTCTGCCAGGGCACAGCATCATTTCAGGGGACAGAGTGCCACAGGAACAGAGCTGGGAGGTGTGTGGCCAGGCAGTCCTCCCACCCAAACCCATTCTCTGGACTGCTGGGTCTCTTTGGGAGATCAGCTGGCTCTACCTTTGCTATCTGCAGGGCTTGAAGCTCAGCTGCAGGGTGACAAGAAAACAAGCAGGAAGTCCATCCATCTCTGCAAGCCCCATTTCTGCACACAGGGACTGCTCAGTGTAGTGGGTGTGGGCTCCAGGAATACTGCAGAGGGAGATGATGCAAAGTGAGCCCGGCTTTGCCCCGTGGCTCACTCGGGTGAGTGCGGTGCTGTTAGTGCCGACACCGCGGGTTTGGATCCTATATAGGGATGGCCAGTGCGCTCACTGGCTGAGCGTAGTGCAGANAACACCGCGGGTTTGGATCCTATATAGGGATGGCCAGTGCACTCACTGGCTGAGCGTAGTGCAGACCACACCAAGCCAAAGGGTTACAATCCCCTTACCGATCGAAAAAAAAAAAAAAGTGAGCCTGGCTTTCTCATGCGCTCCCACTAGGACACTGGGTACACTTTGCTCCAAGGGGCTTTAGGTTGCAATAAGATCACACTTGAGAGTTCACAGAGGCTTTTAAGAAGCATGTATTTGAGAGAGAAGTTCATTTCAGATAAATTAGTGCAGATAAAAACATTTGGAGAGTTAAATATAATGAAATGGAAACATTCAGACCAGTTTAACTTTCACTCAAGGAGGGAGATGGGAAGACCTCCTCTCCCCCGACCACAAAATCCTAGGCCTCAGAACTCCAACCCTCACCCTACACCCAACCCCTGCTTGAGGCCTCTCTTCTCCTTGAAGAGCTCTCCGTAGCTGCTGATGTCTTTGATGCTCGGCAGACTTTGAGGCTGCGCTCCGGGTTGGGATCGTTGTCTCTTGACAATCTGCAAGCCAGCATCGAAGTGTGCAAGGGCCTTGGCCACGTGACTGGCCGTGAGCCTGCACAGGGCTGGCAAGCTGTCCTCCTCCTCCTCCCCCGCCGCGTGCTCCTGCTCCAGTCCCATCAGTTCCTCGTTGGACAGGTCCGCCCCCCAGCACTGCAGCAGTTCGGCCACACCTGCTTCTGCTACCTCTGCAAAACCTGCGCTGTGTGCCAGCGCCACACTGTCGCGCCGGATCCGTGGGAGGGTTTCCACGTGTCCGCCGCCCAAACCGCTCTGGACGCACTCAGGCCACAGCTTTCTCCACCCTCCGTTCAGCGTGGCTGGCGGGAGCTCCTCCCAGGACTCGGAGATGTCGTAGACGGCGTCGAGGACGGTGTAGTCCCGCCAGAAGACCCGGACCGCCGCCCGCCCTCACCACCAGCAGGCGGAAAACCCTCCGCAGGTAACAGGCCTTGAAGAGGGCTGCGACGCCCTGGTTCATGGGCTGGATAAGGGCCATGGTGTTCCTGGCAGGTACTCCATGCGCACGTGGTCAGAGAGGTCGTTCAGGTTCCCAAGGTGGCCGGGTCGCTGTCCAGGACGAGCAGCGCTTTGTTCGGAAGGCCGTGCTGGGAGCAGTACCTCTCCACAGCCGGGCAGAAGTGGTGCACGAACCACTCCTGGAAGAGGCTCACGGTCACCCAAGCTTTCTTGTGTGAGCGCCACACCACGGGCAGGTTGGGCTTAGAGAAGCCCTTGAGGGCACACGGGTTCTCCGACGGGTACACGAGCAAGGGCTTCAGCCTGAGGTCGCCAGCCACGTTGCCACCAAGCAGCAGGGTCGGGAGGTCTCTGGTGGGTTTGAACCCGGGGGGCCGACTTGTCCTCCATGGAAATGAACGTCCTGTCGGGCAGGCGCTTCCAGAAAAGCCTGGTCTCGTCCACGCTGAACACCTGCCAGGGCCTGTAGCTGCCCTCCTGGATCACCCTCCGGGTACTTTCGCGCGGCTTCTGCGTCGGACCCATAGCCTCGCCGCTGGGCCCTATGCTGCGCAAGCTGTGGCGCGCCTTGAACCGGGCGAGCCACCCGCGACTGGCCCCGAGGGCCTCGGATTCGGCGCCGCTGCCCTGCTCCCGTTTAAGGTCCTTGAACAGGCTGCGGACTTTCTCCTGGATGAGCACCACACTGATGGGCACGTTGCGCTGGTTCTAGTCCTCGATCCACACACTCAGCAGCCGCTCCATGTTCTCCATTACCAGCCTGCTGCTACGCGTCAACCTGGTGGCCGCCTGCAGGGTGGCTGCCTATAGGGTGGCCACCTGCGAACCCGCCTGGATCTTCTTGTTGTCACGAATGGCGGCCACGGTGGAGGTGGACAGCCCCAGCGCCTTCCCGATTCTGCTGAGCTTATCTCCACCTTCCAAACGCCGCAGCACCTCAACCTTCACCTGCAGGTTGATGGCCTCGCAGTCCCGTTTGGCGATTCGGCACTCGGCGCCAGAGCTCAGCAGCCTCTTCAGGAGCCTCTTTGGGCCCGAGACGGTGGAGAGGAAGGTTCTGCCTGCACCACTCTCTCTGTACGTCACAAGAGAGTATTTGTGCTCCCACCCTGTGCCCGCTGATCTAAGCGCTGCTGCCGCCCTGGCCCTGACCCACTGTAAAATGGGGAGACAACTTTACTGGTGGGAAGTGGGGCAGACTTGGGTAACACCTGTTAAAGATCATGTACAAGTCTCTCTTTAGGTAGCAGATTAGGGTCCACATTAGGTCACTGAGCTCACTTCCCACTGTATGAACGCTGCCCCCCTGGACTAAATTAACTGCACTCTCAGGAATGCAGCAAGCTTCTGTAAACCCACTAGGACTTCATAACCATGCCCCCACTGGCCATCACCAGACTCACCAGCCTCGCCAAGGATCCAGGTTGGCACCATACACAATAAGCTGTCAGACCAAATGCAGAAGTCAGGAATTGAAGGGCTTGTGGAGACAGGGGAAAAAACAGTCTGGATAGATCCCAGCTCAGCACAGGAACTTACAGCAACTGCACATAAAACTGAACTCTGAGCTTCCAGGCAGCCAGGTAAAGGAGGGAAACAAGAAGCGTCCATTTACAGAAAACATATTTTCATGGTGCTAAGCTTGGACAGACCTTGAGCAATGTCATTAAAGATGTCACAAGACTCATGTTTTCTTTCATGTTTTTCTTTGTTTTGGGGGAGGGTCTGCTGGAGGTTTATTTTTAAAGGTGATACATACACATGGTAAAATAACCCCAACATGCCACAGGAGAACCAGGCAAGGGGAGAGTCTCCCTCCTACTGCAGACATGTTTTTCTTTGTTTTGGGGGAGGGTCTGCTGGAGGTTTATTTTTAAAGGTGATACATACGCATGGTAAAATAACCCCAACATGCCACAGGAGAACCAGGCAAGGGGAGAGTCTCCCTCCTACTGCAGAGCCCAGAGGCAGCCACTGAGCCCACTTTCTCATGTGTCCTTCAACAACAGGGCAGACCAGGAACCTTGTTTCTTCCAAAAACAGCACCTCTCAGAACTCAGCTTTTCACTCTTCGTTTGTGATCAGAGTTTTACAGTAAAGCATCCCTGGCTGTTCTCTAAGAGTTGCCAGCATTCCAGTACCCTGTAGGACACCTGGTGAACCCAGCTCTGGGGTGGATCTGGACAGGACCATCATGGGAGTTCCCATGCCCTGCAGGGCATCAGGAAGCCCCCAAGAATTGCAGTCAAGAGCAGAAAGGCCAGCATGTCATCCAGCCTCCCTGCTCACTTGGCAGGAGACCCAGCATGCTCCTTGACTATCACACCCTCCTTTCCATGCATGTTCGATTAGTGTCTGTGAGCAAGGCTTGGGGCAAGCCCCTCAGTTACCCACCAGGACCACAAACAGTTGAGTGCCCTGTGACACACAGGCAAGCTTCAGTGTCTGCCTCATGAGGCAGAGCCATTCTGGGGAGGCCATGCTGGGTAGAGAGTGGGAGATGAGCTGTTTGTCATGACCCACCTTGGCTCCCATCCCTAGCCAACAGGGGCAACCACATGGGGCTACCTACAGTGAGGACTGGAAGTGAAATGGTCCTACACAGTGCTCAGCACCAAAGCAGGGGCTGCAAGGACATCAGGGGCTGCAGGCTGGGGCACAGGGGAGGTAAAAAGGACTGGCAACCAGGGCAGGGGTATGTGTTCTAGAGTGAGAAATGGGCAACAACCCACATGCCTTGGCTAGGCTGGGCAATTGACTCCTATGGAGCCACTAAAAAGGGAGGACTGCTTGTGCCACTTGGAGGGCCCCTAATATGAGATGGAGTGAAAACAGCAGGGCATGGAGTGTTAATGGGCTTTCTTTGGAAATGTCAGTGCACCTATGTTCATACACACATATATGCATGTGCCACAAGTGTACATAAGAGAAGGGAGGAAAGATGCACAACAGTTAACAGCGGCCTCCTCCGGAGAAGATCAGATGTGAGGCCAGAATTTTACATACTTTTATAAGGTTTGAATTATTTTATAATGTACATGTGTTATACGTGGGAGAACAGATAATGACTAGTATATTTCTATCTCTGTACAACAGAAATTATGCCTAAATTAATCAAAGAAAACCCACTTTTGGAAAGTCAGGCAGAACCCAGGGCTGGATAGTAAGACAGGGACAAGAAGCCTGCTGGAGCCATCTCCTGTGCCTGTGGGTTTGGGCCCTGAGGTCCCGAGACCCAGAGACAAATACCTACCCCACTACTAGACAGCATGAGCCTGGGAGGGACACGCCCTCAGAACGAGGAGCTGGGGGAAGCAGCTCCTGGACCAAGCCTGAGGGTGAAGGGAGGCCTGGGGTGCCTGGGCACAGCTGCTGAATATGCCCCCTCCATGGCCTGGGGTGAAGAGGGGATGCAGAGGGGTGGGACAGTAGGATGTGACATCTGTGACCTTGAAGGACTCACAACTCACCTGAGCTCCATCCATGAAGGGCTTGGCCGACTCTGCCAGGTCTCCAGACCACCAGTCCATGGGAGGGCCTTGGGCCAGTGCTGAGGGGAAAAGGGAGTGTTAGTGTCCTCAGCCCCACTAGGAGCACACAGGGGCCATGCACCTAGGCCAATCAATCAGGTAGTCAGCATGTGGCCAGTGTCCTCAAGTTTGGACTAGGTACTAGCCTGGGACTCTCAGCTGGACAGGACATAGGCCTGCTCTCCAGACCACACAGACTACCCCTCTCTAACATGCAGTCCCCTCTGGTACACATATACATATATTGCCTGCTCTCCAGACCACACAGACTACCCCTCTCTAACATGCAGTCCCCTCTGGTACACATACACATATGCACATGCACACACATACACACACACCCAGAGTACTCCCAAGATCCCTGAAATTCAAGTCACTGAAACACAAAGGAAGTAACTACAAGATTAGAAGCTTCATTCAGCTGTGACCAGGCATGCTGTAAAGAGCTGAGCCAGCAGGCCTGGGCTGTTCAAACCCTGCACATTCCAAACAAAGTTCTGGCCTTTGACCTGCTCCAAGGAGGCAACCTCTAAGCGCTTGGAATATCCTGCCTGTTAAGATTGTCTGTGTCTATCTAAGGCCCTGGGTCACACCAGACAGTTTATGCTAGCTGCAATTTATGGTGGGAGACTTGGGCCATGCTGCATCCATCTGATCTCTGGGGTTGCTGGAATCTGAGTAACTGAAGTCAGTCATGTGAGTGCTCCATGCCTATGAGACTGACCCCCAATAAAAACCCATGACACCATGGCTCAGGGGAGCTTCCCTGGTTGACAATTTCCTTGGATGTTGTCGCACATCAATGTTGGGAGAAATAAGCACTGTCCACACAACTCCACTGGAAGAGAACAACTGGAAGCGCATCCCTGGTTGCTCCTAGACTCTGCCCTATGCACCTTTTTCCATTGCTGATCTCAATTTGTATCATTCCACTGTAATAAGCTATAACTGTGAGTATAACAGTCTTGCTGAGTTCTGTGAGTCCTAGCAAATCAGTGAACCTGAGGGTGGTCTTGGGGGCCCCTGAACATACTGGGACAGTGACAGCTAAGGAAGAGCTCAGGACACCCAGCTCCTGGACTCCCTAACAGCATCACAGCAGTTCATCCAGAGATAGCCAGTGCCAACCCTCTTCCCTCTCACAAATGGGGCATCAGAGGAGCCAGGAACAATGGGCAGAGCTGAGACCAGGTAAGGGCACAAGGCAAAGTCAGAAGTCTTCATGTAAATGTGAACTGGGGCAAACTTGAAACCATGTGATTTCAAAGCCGAGTAGACATAACCATTCATGACCCACAGGGATCCATGTAAGTGCTAGGCCTGAACCCATTCAGTGACCTGTGGGCTACTATTCCAACATCCATGTGGTTATGTTGCAAAATTCGTCTTCATAGTGCGCATCATCTAAGCAACCGTTCAATGAGAAACTAGGAACCAGGGGGCCAGACCTCCAAGGAGGAGGCAAATGCTGGCTGTTGTTCAGGAGACAGCTTGCCTCAAACACTGGTGACAGGCTTAGAAAACGGAGCCCAGCACTACAGCAAACACCACACAAGGACCACAGGTACATTCACCCAAGATGTCTCACCTGCACCTCACGTTCATGTGTAGGCAAAAACAAGTCCTGCAACATCAAGGTTTTTAGTTTCCTTAGCAGAAGCTGAATCCAATTTGGAACTTTTCCAACCTGTGCAGAACCAGCTTCATCAGGCCCTCCCGGGAGACCCCAGTACCAGCCGGCAGTGGCCCCTCCCCAAGGGTCTGGATCCTAGCCCCACATTCTCCTTATTTGAGCTTCTAGTTGACATAATTGCAACCTCTTCCTTTTGTTCTTGCCAGTCTAGGAATGGATGCTGTTCCCTGCAGTTCCTGCCAATGTGACACTTCAGGTATACATTTTTGGTATTTTTTTATTCCTTTAATACCTACATAAGGGCCGGCCTGTGGCTCACTTGAGAGAGCGTGGTGCTGACAACACCAAGTCAAGAGTTAGGGTCCCCTTACCAGTCATCTTTTTTTTAAAAAAAGCCTACATAAAATTTTTTACATTAAATTCCCCGTTAAAACAAGTGGTGTGTTAGCAGTCCCTCAAAAGGTCAAAAAGTGTTACCATATGACCCAGTAATTCTACTTGTAGGTATATACTCAACAGATATGAAAACACATGTCCACAAACAAACGTGCACACCAATGTTCACAGCAGCATTATTCATAATAGCCAAAAAGTAAAAACCACCCAAATGCCAACCGATGGATACATGAATAAACAAAATGTGGTATATCCATGCTGAAATATTATTCACTTATAAAAATGAATGAAATTCTGACACATTACAACCTCAAAAACATTATACTCCAAAAGAAGCCAGACATAAAAGGCCACATTACTATATGATTCCATTTAATGAAATGTCCAGAAAAGGCAAATCCATAGAGACAAAAAGACTAGTGGTTGCCAGGCGTTGGGAGGACAGGGATGAAGAGTGGTGACCGCTAATGGGCACAAGGTTTCTTTCGAGGGTGATTAAATTCTGGTATTAGTGGTAATGGTTGCACAATCTTGTGAATATACTAAAAATCCCTGAATTGAGGCTGGCCAGGTAGCTCAGTTGGTTAGAGCATGGTACTGATAACACCAAGGTCCAGGGTTCCATCCCTGTACTGGCCAGTTTTAAAAAAAAAAGAAAGATGGGCTGGCCCGGTGGCGCACTCGGTAGAGTGCGGCACTTGGGAGCGTGACGGCGCTCCCGCCGAGGGTTTGGATCCCATATAGAGACCGGTCCACTCACTGGTTGAGCGCGGTGCGGGCGCGACACCAAGGGTTGCGATCCTGTTACCGGTCACGAAAAAAGACAAAAAGGAAAAAAAAAAAAGAAAGAAAGAAAGAAAATTCCTGAATGATATACTTTTTTTAGTATGTCCATTATACCTTAGTAAAAGTATATCTTAAAAAAAAAAAAGTACTGTGGTTTCTACCTCCTGATGAAGAGGGTGAAGTAGACTAGAAGCACTGCGTAGACGTGTGTGAGTAAATGACTAAACAGAGGAACAAATGTCAAGATGAATGATGGCTGGAACGTACCTTCTCTCCTGCCTACTTCATGGTTATCACCCACTCCCAACTACACAGGTGTACACACATGCATGGAGCCCAAGGTGAAGGGCATCACACACCAGGAACTACAAAGTCACCACCAACCAGGCCAGCCTCTGTGCCCAATTCTTCTTCCCTCCACCCCATCCAGGGCAAGGACACCCAAGTTGTGACCAGTGGTCTCACTGTCCACCTCTCCAAACAGACTAGGCTCCATGAGGGCAGAAACCTTGCATACTTCCCCACTGTATCCACAGGGCCTGACATGTGGCAGGCACTCAAGAGACCTTGTGGGGAAGGAGAAAAAGCAAGGAAAACAGGCTGGGTGCACCCTGAGAGGGAGGAAGTCACACCAACTGCGAGTTCCCGCCTCTGGGGAGTTCAGAGGTTGCAAAAGGTTCCAAATGTGTTGCAGCTTCTAAATCCCTCTCCCTAAGACAGGGACATTGACAGCCTAGGCAGATGGGGCAGAGGAACACTCAGGGCCCGGGGTCATGAACTGTGTCCCCTCACACATTCCCCCACACATTCCCCCACCCCCGGGCCTCCTGACAAGTCCCCTGGATCCCTGTGGCTCACCAGTCTCCTGCAACATCTGGGCAAGGTTCTCAACCAGCACCACAGCCTACTCCCCACTCTCAGGACACTGGGACTCCACCCAGACCCGGGTGTCAGGTGGCAGCACACCCAGGAACTGCTCCAGCACCAAGAGCTCCAGCATCTGCTCCTTGGAGTGCACCTTGGGCTGCAGCCACTGGTGACACAGCTGGCGCAGGTGGGCCAGAGCCTCTCGAGGGCCAGCCGCCTCCTCATAGCAGAAGCTGCAGAAGCGCTGCTGGGGCTCCCTGGTGAACTCAGGTGGCAGGGTCAGGGGCTGAGGGTCAGACGGGGTCCAGGCTCCCACAGGGTGGCCTCATCCTCCTCCATATTGATGACCATGAGCTCTTCCTGCTCTAGGGGTGCTGGGCTGTCTGTCACAGCAAGGTGGGAAGCCAGCCTCCCTAACCCTCACTCAAGACACACACATCCTCCTCCATATTGATGACCATGAGCTCTTCCTGCTCTAGGGGTGCTGGGCTGTCTGTCATAGCAAGGTGGGAAGCCAGCCTCCCTAACCCTCACTCAAGACACACACACCACCTGCCTGGACACACACCCATCCAGTCAAGGCCACGGGCCGCCCACATCCCTCCACCTGCCCACACCTTGCAATGCCACTGTTGTGGGGGAAACTGTCTGCAGACCTGGCTCCCCAGGCTCCTCCACATCCTGACCAGGGAGTAAGGCGGTACCTCCCAATCTGTACCCTCAAGAGGATGCCTGAGGCAGCTGGCCAATTAGCTCAGTTGGTTAGAGCACGTTGTAAACCAAGGTCAAGGGTTCGGATCCCCTTACCGGCCAGCTGCCAAAAAAAAAAAGAGGATGCTTGGCACTGGGAATCTGGACAACAGAAAGGCAAGCACACCTGTGCTCAGGCCAGACTGGCAGGGCAGAAAAGGCTGTCACCAGTGCCAGGCTAGGGGACAGGTGGTGTGGTTGTGCCCAGTGTCTAACAAACAGAGAGCCCCACCATTAGCAAAGCAGAGCTGCTGGTGGGAACTAGCAGAGGGTGAGTGCCCAGTGAAGGTCTGAGGGGCACAAGAGCGACATGGGGGACAAAATGGAAGGGCAAGCCAGAGGTTGGGGGCAGTTGCAATGCAACCAGCAGGAGCCTGAATGGCAACAGGTGGCATCTCTACTGGAAGGCCATCCTTCTCCCATAGCAGACTCCTACAGGGACTAGAGGCTTAGTTCGACTAGCCAGTTGACAGGGAAAGATGTCTAGCCTATAATGCTGAACAAAAAAGTAAGCTGGGGCCCTCCTCCTCCAAAAAGATCCCATTACGTTAGAATTTTAAAACAAACTTCTGCGGGTGTACGTGTGTGTGCACGGGCACTGCTGTTAAATATGTTCAGAAAAGGGTCAAAAACAACAAATGCCAGGCTGACAATTGTGGGGAAAGGAATTGGACGCTCATTTTTTCTTTTATAAAATGTCTGCATACCACATGAACTTGCTTTGCAATGGCCATTTGTTACCATTGCAATTCAAAAAATTAAAAATTGTTTCAATGCCAATACATGTTTCTAAAGGGGCTGGTCAGGGCTTCCCAGACCTGGTCATTCCCATCCCATCCACTTAGGGCTCCTCACAACCCAGGATAGTGCCCTGAGGAGGTGACAGCTGAAGCGAAAGCATTCTGTGTAGCAGGAACAGCACAGGTAAAGGCCAGTGTGGCCAGGACGATCCTGTAGGGCCTTGGGACAGGTAGTTATCTGAAGTTTAATCTCCGTGTGCGGGGAGCGCCCTCCCCACTTCAATGTACAGAAGGACAGTTGCAGTGGGAACAAAGAGGGGACCCAGGCTAAGGAAATCCATAAGGACTTCCTAGAGGAGGTGACAACAGTTTAGGGGGAGCTAAGTGGGAAAGCGTACGCGGGGTGCACAGAACTGAGGATTGCTGCTAGTTCAGGAATGTTGTCTGAGAGGGGGCAGAGGACCCATGGGCCGGCCGTTTGCCTCGCTCGCACGCCAGACCCGGAGGCGTGGCCAGAAAGCCGCCCTCAAGGCGGACCCGCTTCTGGGTCGTCCCCGGACTCCAAGTCCCAGCGGCCCCCCCGCCTTTTCCTTTGGTCTCGCTCGGGCTCCTACAGAGGGAGGAGCTTCTCCGCCCCACTCCTCTGTCGCCCGCCGGCTAACTGCGCACCCTATCCCGAGCCTTCCAGACGACTCGGGCCGCCCCGTGCTCGGACTCACCGACCCCGAGAGCTACGCGACCGGCTCGCTGCGCGAGAACGACGACCGACCACCCCGTGCCCCAGGATTGGAAGCTTCCGGCCACCTAGCAAGCTACTTCCGGCGCCTAGTCCTCCCCGCCGCCCCTCAACGTGCGACCCCGTCCCTCTTCCCGACCTTCCACGCAAGCGCGAGGAGGCGGGGCGATCAAGCGCTTTGGTGTCTCTATGGCAACAGCACACGTACCGGAAGTGAGAGATGTGGGAGACGTATGTCCGAGGGGCCTTCTGGGAAATGTAGTTCTGGCGGCGTTGGAAGACCGGCCCATCGAGTGAAAAGCTACATTTCCCAACAGGCAGCGAGCGGTAGCTGCGCTCACGCTGCCAGAAAACGCAGTTCTTCAGAGCCTGTGAGAGGGCGCTTGTGCAGCAAGTCCGGAGCGTTAGGCTGAGCGTTTAAGGTCCGGGCGCCGACCTTGGCTTTGAGGAGAGTCCTGGAGCCACCGGCTCACGTATTCGTTATCACCGCCACGCACTGCCTGCCAGACCTCGGGTCCAGTCGCGTCCCCTCACCCAGCTGTACCGCGCTCACTCAAGTGGGACGTCTCCGCCAATACCGGGGCTACCCCTCCCTCCGCCAGTCCAACCACCTTGCCATGCTGGGCTGCCCCCGAGCTCCTCTCTGACTCGCGACATTTTGAAATGACCACTTTCCTGGTTGTTAGAAGTGTTGTTAGAAGGTGGGACACCACCTTCCCAGAAAGACTTTTTTGTCCTCTGCCCCAACTAAAATGGGGTCCCTCCTAAGTCATAGCCTTGACACATAGAATGTAACTTCTGGACTGGCAACTCATGAAGCCAATCTCACCCATCCTGGTCTCCCCAATACCTAGCACAAGTGCTCATAATTTGTGTAACGTATGGGATTGATTGGAAGGAGCAGAGAGAAATCTTCTCAACTCTGTCCCCAAACCCTCCATTTGTAATTTACATGCGTAAGAAATACTCTTTAAAAAAAAAAAAATTCGATGATAACCCAGTCACCTGGGTCCTAAGAAAAGTCCCTTACCTTCTCCTTTGCCATCCCACTTTGCCAGGAAAGCCATGGAAGGGCATCATCTGGCCTTTCCCCCACTAAGGCTGGGCCTTCTAGCCCCTCCTCAGCCACCAGCCCCATCACTGTGGGTGTTAGCCAGGACAAAAGTGGCAGGAATCCTTTCTCCTGTCTTTATTTCTTGGCTCACAGACACACAGGTGCAGATAACTGTGTTGAAAGAAGTTCGGTGGGCCGGCCCGGTGGCGCACTTGGTAGAGTGCGGCACTTGGGAGTGCGGCGGCACTCCCGCTGAGGGTTCGGATCCCATATAGAAACCAGTCCGCTCACTGGTTGAGCGTGGTGCAGGCGCGACACCGAGGGTTGCGATCCCGTTACCGGTCACGAAAAAAGACAAAAAGAAAAAAAAAAAAAAGAAAGAAAGAAGTTCGGTAAGCCACACATCCCTGTCCAACACCCTATGGCTCATCCAGCTGAAGCATGAACAGAGCATCTTCCCTCGCTGAATATCTGTGTTCTGGTGGCACATCTGGTCAGCAAGGTCAGGCAAACACCCCAGGGTGCCTGTTATTACAGTTTGGGGGAATGAGAGGAAATTACAAGACTATCCAGGGGCCTGTCCACAGATAGAGCTGTGGGTCTAGAACTTGGGGAGGGGCTGGGCTACAGCCAGTGCACCCAGAGCTGACCCTGAAGTGGCCGCTGAGTCCTCAGAAATGGATGGGATTTCCCAAGAACTAGATCCAAGAGATCATTAGTCACAAAGGACTCAGCTACACAGACCAGATGGAAGCCAAGACAGACATGCCACATAGCTGAAGAAAGAAAACACCAAAACAAAACAGTGGTCCTTAGTATCAAAGACCACAGTGGGATGAGGACAAGGGCCAACATGTGCCCTAAGAGTTTGGCACAGGGAGGGTACCAAAGACCTCAGAAAACAGAGGGCATGGAAGCCAGAGTGGCAGGATGGTATAGAAAGTGAACAGGGAGATGCCAAGCACAGGGAACCCTCATCTAAATTTTGCTGGGAAGTGTCATAATGGAGCAGGGAGTAAGAAGGTAGGGTTGACAAATGGGAGAGGCTGATCTGGGTCCTGGCCCCTCACCTCTCACTCCTCAAGGAAGACGACCCTGGTGGACAACCATTGTGCCTTTTGGGTGCATCTCCTTCATGTGTGGGTATTCCTGGGCCCTGCAGTTCACCCACTGGTCAGGGAATACCACCTTCCTGTTACCCAAGACTGATGCTGTGTGTGAATCAATGCAGAAAGGCCACAGGACGTCACAGGTGAGAACCATGGGAGAGAAGAGGCAGTGTCTGCTGTCCAGAAAACATCACCAGGCAGAATTCATCTGAGATCAGCCCCAACCCCAAACTCATGCAGAACAGCTGCAGAGGTCTGTCCTTCCAGGCCTGTGGCCTGAGCCACTTGCTCATCCTCTGCAGGCCTCTCCTGGGGCAAACGCAGGCTTCCCACCAACTCCCTTGTCAACACTACCACAGAGCCTCCTGAGGATGCAGCCACCCGAGACTGCCACCTCCTGTCTCTATGCGGCTCCCGGAGGCAGGCAAGGGCACTGTGGACACACCGAGATACCCACAGGCTATGCTCCCGGTTGGGGTCATTCTCTGGAAGGACCCTAAGGCCAGCAGCAAAGTGGGACAGGGCCTGGGACAGGTGCTCATGGCTCAGCACCCCTTCAACTGCTTCCCGGGTCCCCACACTCTCCGTGGCCTGTGTGAGCTCTGGCTCTGGTCTTTTGGAGGCCAGGCCTTTCCCTGCCTCCCAGGGCATCCCAGAACTGCTGGTGTGCCCAGCCTCCATGTCCTGGGGGACACTGCAGGGTAGGGGCTCCCCATGGGTCTGCAGCAAGCGAGCAACATCAGCCTCAGCCTCATCCCCACGGCCCACATGGCCGGCTAGCGCCACAGTGCTGTGGTGGAGCTGGGGCACAGCATCAGGCTCAAAGGCACCAGGAGGCACACACTCAGTCCAGAGCTTGCTCCAGGCACTGGTCATAGTAGCAGGCTGCAGTTCTGCCCAGGCCTCAGCAATGTTGTCCACAGCAGTCATGACAGTATAGCTACGCCAGAACTCCTCTGCAGAGGGCCCATCCTGGCCGGCCATCTCCTGGACCAGTTGGCTGAGTGTGCGGCACAGGTAATGGGCCTTGAAGGCAGCAATGATACCTTGGTTCATGGGCTGGATTAAGGCTAAGGTGTTCTTGGACAGGAACTCGACACACACATGGGCTGAGAGACTACCCAGGTAGGCAGGGTGGCAGGGCGCACCATCCAGGAGCAGTAGGGCATGGTGTGGGAGGCCATGGTAGACACAGTAGCTCTCCACAGCAGGGCAGAAGCAGCCAGTGAGCCACTCCTGGAAGATACTGGGAGTTAACCAATCGTTGTGGTTGGAGCGCCACACCACAGGTAGGCTGGCCTTGGAGCAGCCCTTGAGGGCACACTGATTTTCTGAAGGGTACACTAGCAGGGGCTTTATTTTTTTTTTTTTTTCCTTTTTTATTTTTATTTTTGTCTTTTTTACTGACCGGTAACGGGATCGCAACCCTCGGTGTCGCGCCCGTACCAGGGACCAGCAACGGGATCGCAACCCTCGGTGTTGCGCCTGCACCGCGCTCAGCCAGTGAGCGGGAGGGAACCGGTCTTCACATGGGATCCGAACCCTCGGCGGGAGCGCCACCATGCTCCCAAGCAGCGCACTCTCCAGTGCGCCACCGGGCCGGCCCAGGGGCTTTAGCTTGAAGTCGCCAGCAGCATTGCCACCGAGCAGCAGGGTCAGGTGGTCTTAGAGGCCTTGGGCCCTGGCCTGGCTGCCCCCTCCAGTGCCAGGAGCATGCACTCAGGCAGCTGCTTCCAGAACAGGCCCGTCTCATCCACATTAAAGACTTGGAACGGTGAGTAGCAGCCCTCCTCCAGAATGGTGTGTAACACCAGGGGGTACTGGGCAGCAGCCTGGGTGTCAGCTACAGCTGGCTCATCCATTAGCAGCACATTGTGGCGTGCCTTGAAGCAGGCAAACCAGCCGTTGCTGGCCCCGAAGGTCTCAGCCTGGGTGCCATCACCCTGCTCCTGCTGCAGCTGTGCAAAGAGCCTGCGTGCCTTGTCCTGGATGAGCAGTGTGCTGACGGGCAGGTTTTGCTGCTTCTGCTCCTCAATCCACAGGCTCAGCAAGTGCTCCATGTGGCCCATCACCACGCCCCGACAGCAGATCAGCTGTGTGGCACTGAATGGAGTGGCGGCCTGGGAATTGGCCTGGATCTTGTCCTTGTTGACACAGATCGAGGCAACGGCGGAGGTGGCCAGCCCCAGGGCCCGGGCGATCTGCATCAGCTTCTCACCCTCCTCAAACCTCCGCAGCACCTCCAACTTCACGTGCAGGGTGATGGACTTCCAATCCCACTTAGTACTGCGACAGAGGCCAATCCCACCAATGGGTGCCTTCCCCGACACCTGTGGGTGGGAGACTGTCTTCATTCCACTTCCCTGAGCCACATACCTCAATGAGCTCTCTTCTCCCTGCCCAGCCCAAGCAGCTACCGCTGTGTCCACAATGGCAGCCTCTTGCCCTCTCCTGCCACGCCTGCCTCTGACTGTAAGAGGGACACACATGAGCATCAATGTGTGAGCACATGACTTGCCTTCTCATGCCCTGACACAGATACTGCCCCAGCAGCACACCCAGCGCCTTTTCTCTCAGCCCACAGAAACACTGCACAGTCACTTCCCAGCCTTCTTTGTTGCTAAAGGACTGTGTCACTCAGTTTTGGTTTATGACACCAAAAAAGAGGTCTGCTAGGGAACTTCACTGTCTTCTCCCAGCAGTGGAGGCTATAGGAACCTCTTGCAACCACAAGGGAAAGCCAATAGAGTGGAGAGACCATGACCCACCTTCCAGACACAGAGGAGCAGATGAACTCCCATCTCCACACTTCTCATGCAAAGACATCAAATGTCAGTGTGGGAAACTGAATAAGGACACCTAAAGATGTCCACATCCTAATCCCACAAATCTATGAATAAATTACCTGACATAGCAAAAGAAACTTTGTAAATTAATAATCTTGAGATGGGGAGGTTATCCTGGGTTATCCAAGTGGCCTCTAAATGTAATCACAGGGGTCCCTATAAGAGGAGGTGAAGGAAGATTTGACTCAGAAGAAGGCAATATGATCACACTGAAGCCTGGAGCCTTCAGAAGGAACCAGCCTTGCTAATACTTTGATTTTAACCTAGTAAGACCCACTTCAGACTTCTGACCTCCAGGACAGATGCTAAGATAACAAATTTGAGTTGTTTTAAGCCACTAAGTTTACAGTGATTTGTTACAGCAGTCATAGGAAACTAACACATAAGGGAACCTCCCTAATTTGTGCCACACCATGGAGTACCCAAGACTAGAGGAGGATAGTAGTCCTCCACATCACAGCAAGAATGATTCAGTAAAGCCTAAGTCAGATGCTGTCCCTCCTCTGCACAGAGCCCTCCCAGGCCTCCCACCCCTCTCTGAGTAAAAGGCACAGTCCTCGTCAGCTTTTTTGCGGGTCTCAAAGCCTCTTTCTCTCCTTCCCTCACTCCTGACCCCATCCTCCGGGCAGACCAATGGCGCTGACTCTGGGCTTTTGGTTTCCTTGGTTTCTTTGGTGCAGAACAGGCATTCTTCCCTGTTATCTGCATGTCTTGTTCCCTCACCTTCTAGAAGTCCCTGTTCAAATGTGACCTTATCGGTGAGGCTCTCCCCCACTGTGTTTTTTGTGTGTATGTCACATGCTGCCTGAGAACAGGAGCAGTGTCTACTGAGCTCTCAGTTGTGTCCCCAGGCCCAGGAACAGTGCCTGGCACTTAGCAGGCACCCAGCAATCACTTGTTGAATAATTTATTAAATGAAGTACAGTGGTGGGAGGCAGGCTTCTCACCTTGTTCTTTTTGTATTTTGAGCTATGTGAAAGTAGCAACTAAAAAAGCGACTAAGGAATGTTTGTGAAAAGCAGGAACAGATAAATGCCTGATAGGTCCATGCACCTGCTGTGAAACAAGGTGGCACTGCCCACAAAGCCCTCACCTAGGGAGACAGGGAAAGTCAAGTGAGCATGGAGAAGGCTCCTGCCTGATGACAGCGGGCCCGAATTCTGAACCACTCGGACTACCATCCTCTCTCCCACATCCTTCGCCTTCTCACCCACATTTTTAAGTTAATTCACCCACACGATCACTCATTCCCTCTCTCGCCATCTCGAGAGGCAGCCCCAAGCCTGCTCGTTGCCCAGTGTCTGGGTGGAAAAAAGGGCTCGCCCCCCCATTCGAGACTACATTTCCCACAGGGCCGCGGGGCTGCCGCCGGCTCCAATTGACCCTCTCGCGCGCATCTCCAGCCCCCTTCCCCGCGACCGAAGCGGAGAAAAGGTGCTGTAGCTCCCGCCCCCAGAGCCCGGCCCCCGCGCGTCCAACTCTCACCCCCGGGTCTTGACGAGAGGCACCTGCTTCAGCTGGGCTGACAGGACTGCGGCACTTCCCTATTGGCCGCCTCACAGAGCCGTTTCCCGGAGGCGGCCGAACACAGCCTTCATCTTGGCGGAGGGGAAGGTTGCCTGGTGACGGCCGGGATTGTGACGCACTCTGCCCTGCTCCTGGAGCCCCCGAGGGCTGCGGGGAAATGTAGTTTCCACGACGAGGCCGCGGCGCGCAGTCCCGGCAGAGGCGCCCTAGGCTGTTTCTGCCCTAGGCTGGCCTTTTCGCCGCCTAACTTCTGTCTTTGTCTTTCTATCATCTACCTACCTCCTTTTCTCCCTGGCTCTGTCTCAGTTTTCCCTTTCTCCCTATCTGCCCCCCATCCCGGAGAACTGGTTCCCTTCAGAATGTCAAAATATAGTTTTCAAAAGACATGACTCAGTGATCACGTGTCAAAGATTTATTCGCCTCACCGAGGGAACCAGCAAGATGATATAGGTGTTACAGGAAGATGGGAAAGAAGGAACTATAAAGAGAGTAAAAGAAAGAACACTGAAATAAAAGCAAAGTCAGGGTCTGGCCAGTTATCTCAGTTGGTTAGACCACAGACTTATCACAGCAAAGTCCCAGGCTCAAATTCCCCTACCAGAAAAAAATAAAGAGCAAAGTCGGATACAAAACTGCTTAGTGACCTACAGGGCAATCGATACACAGCACAGAAAGCATTTGTAAGCTACCAACCTTTTGCAAGTTAGCATCCAACTGCACAGCATGTGGACTCTAATCAAAAGTAGTCAAGTTAAAGAGTTGTTTCGCTCAGGGAGTCAGATGACTCGAAGCAAGCTTGGTAGACAATGCCTGGACTCCCAGTTATCTTTTTGTCTTATTCTCAAGTTTTGGATACGTTTTCCTAACAAGTTTCCCTCCAACTCTTCCTGTCACTCCTCTTGCTGTCAGTTTTCTCCGAATCTTTGGACACTATCAGCCCATCTTACTGTATCTCTAAATTCTGTCCCTTTCTCCCTTCTTGCCTCCGTACTCCTGTCTGTCCCTTGGGTCTCGATGTCTGCACTCCTTGTTTCTGTGTTTCCACTCTCCATCTCCGTCTTTGTCTCTGTCTCTCCTGTCTTCTCCATTCCTTCCTGATCGCTCTCCCTCCTACTAACTGTTCTGACACACCTGTCTCCCCGGCCCTGACTCTCTGACCCTCTCTAATGAGAGCTGAAATCACACTTTGACTCAGACAGTGTTTTGTATGTTCACTTTCACTGTCTCTCCTCATGTCGAGCCTCTCTCTCCCTCCCTCCCCCCGTCTCTCCCTTTCCTTGAGTCTCTGGGTCTCTCTGCCTCTCCTCACTGCCTCTCTCTGCCGCAGTTCCCTCCCCACGCCCTCAAACCACCTCCCCGACTGCCTTTCGAAAGCCCGCCGGGTCCCCGGACCCGCCCACCGCCCGCAAGCACAGAGGAACGTCATCGCGCAGACTACATCTCCCAGAACGCACCGAGCCGAGCCTTTCTCCATTTTGTCGTCCAGCAGGTAGCAGAGGAGGAACCCTACGCCTGGCAGGGGGTTGCCATGGAGACGTGGGGCCGACGGCGTCCTAGTGAGGGCCGTGATTGGTGCAGAACCCTGCTCGTATTTCTAGGAGGGCCCGTAGAAAACTGAGGAAAACGTGGTGGGGGGGCATGCGCTGTCTACAAGGCGGTACTGTCGTCCGTTTCCCCCGAGAAGCTAGCGCACGTCGACGGGGGCCGGACGCCTGGATTCGAGGAGGGAGCGTGGGAAGAGGCGGCCGGGAGTGTGATCTGATCATTGCGACCACCGCTACCCACAGGGGACCGGGGGGCGGGGGCGCCAGGCTAGAAACGGGGGCGAGGGTGGGGGAAGGGCAAGGAGGCGCTGGAGCTGGTGCGCGGAGCATTCTGGGAGACGTAGTCCGGACGGGTAGGGGGAAATTGGCGAGTGCGCATGCTCGGGAGCGCGGAGCGGCCCGCTAAGTGCAGAGGTGAGGGCCGGCACCGCTCAACTAGGAAGGTTCGGGCAGGGACTGGGGCGGCAGCTACGGAATTGGGGGTTCCGGCTGCTCAGCGAGACTGGGAGCACGGGGGAGGGATCTGGGAACTCCCTGCAGGAGGGCCCTGCGCTGTCGCGCGACTCATCAATTACCGGTTGTTGCCACGGCGACAGGCTCTGGGGGCCCCGCCCCCGGTTGCCATGGCGGAGCCAGAACCTGCCTTGGCACCCTGGAGCTGAAGTTGCCCGCCTAGACTTATGGGCAATGTATTTCAGGAACCTCCGCAGGGACCTGCCGGCTTGGTGATGACCCAAGTTTCTCCCAGGGTTTCAGGTTGACTTGGAACCTTGAAGAGTGGAGGTTGGACCTGATCCGGGATCAAGCGGCCTTCGAAATAGATGCCACCCCCTTAATAAATTCAGATTCTTTCACAAAGTCCCAGCTGCAGAAGCAGCAGCCTGAGCGGGAGGTCAGCCCTATTTGCATATGGGGAAACTGAAGTTCACAGAGAAACAGCGACCTGAGAATGGGCGGGGTCAGAATCTTGGACCTTCCTTGCAGGCTCCTGGTCCAGTGGTCTTGGGGCCTCTGCCCACCCCCACTCCTAGGACCTCCCCCAACACCTCCCCGCCCCATGTAAATGAGAGAGCGTGGGAGATGGGGCATTGCGTAGTGTGAAAAGTTGGGCTCAGAGGATGGGACTGAGTAGGGACAGGGTGCTGTCTGGGGGCTAGGTCACACAAGTGACTGCACTCATCTAGATGTGGACCAGGTGGAGTGAAGCTGTCCTCTAGAATCAGGCTGGGAGGCGAATGATGGTGGGGCCAAATCTGAGAGAGACTGGGTGGGAGAGTGGATGGTGTAGTGAGGGGCTGGCATTGGGGGAATCTCGTTCAGTGGGTAGCAGTGGTGCTGATGCCCAGGTCATAAGTGGTGTAGGTGCCATCTACCTGGTAGAGGGAGAACTCCAAGGCAGGGATGAGGTTATACGTGTAGAAGAAAGGCAGGATTTAGGGTAGAGAGGAGGTGGCTTCTAGGCCTAAGAAACAGACTGTGTTTGGAGCAGGAAGGCTACCGGAAACTCTATGCAAGCCCCCCTAGAGAGGCCAGGGACATGATGGCTCAGCAAAGGCTTCCAGCTCCCCAGGTCCCTGGGGTGTGGACCCACCTCTCTGTGCCTCAGTTTCCTCATCTGCCTTCCACATGGGGCAGGTCTGAGAATTGAACAACACAGCATACAGTAGGCACTTAATAAGCATTTGCTGCCACTGTCTACACTTATTGCAGCAGCCTCATCCTATTCCTTCCCCAGGGGCAGACATTGGCCTCAGAGACCTGACCTGGTACTCCCAATGAGACCCACTGTGCTGGGATCCCCAGGTTGCACACCCCCAGATGATGATGGGACTGTCATGGTGAAGCTGGAGGACTCTGAAGAGGAGGGTGAAGCTTCCCCATGGGACCCAGGCCCTGAGGCTGCACGCCTGCGCTTCCGGTGCTTCCGCTATGAGGAGGCAGCGGGACCTCGAGAGGCTCTGGCCCAGCTCCGAGAGCTGTGTCACCAGTGGCTGCAGCCAGAGGTGCTCTCCAAGGAGCAGATACTGGAACTGTTGGTGCTGGAGCAGTTCCTAGGTGCACTGCCCCCCGAGATCCAGGCCCGTGTGCAAGAGCAGCAGCCAAGCAGCCCGGAGGAGGCTGCTGCCCTGGTGGACGGACTGCGCCAGGAGTTGGGCGGGCCTCGGAGATGGGTGAGTCAGTAGCCCTAAGTGGGGGGGTCAGGGCTGGAGCATTGTCCAGCTCCTCACCCTAGCGGGGTACCATGCTTGACCAAACACACGTCCATCCTCCCTCACTGTTTGGAAGTGGCCACCTGCAACAGAGAGCCTGTGTGAGTCTGTCCAGGGCAGGGTGGGTTCCAGGGCCAGTCTTGCCAGCCCATTCCTTCATCACCTAGAGTCACGTGAACACGAGGGCTGCAGGGTAAGGGAAGAGAGGGAAGATACCAGGCAGCCCTGGAAGTCAGCAGCAAGAGAACAACTGCAGGTGGCCCCTTCACTCCTTGCTCAGAGCCAGGGGAGTAGGCCTTTGGAGGACCAAGTCAGTAGGTGTTTACCAGGCAGACCCCTGGAGTCCTGCAATGGGGTGGGTGCCCATGAACACCAGGTTGTACCCAGCCCCATCTCTGCTTGGGCCTCTGATGGTAGGGTCACCTCCCCAGGTCACAGTCCAGGTGCAGGGCCAGGAGGTCCTATCAGAGAAGATGGAGCCCTCTGACTTCCAGCCCCTACCTCAAACTGAGCTGCAGACTCCAGAGCCTGGTCCCAAGATGCCCTTTGGGGCCAGGCAGGAATCGTTGCTGGGCCTTCAGGTGAAGGAGGAGCCAGAGGTTACAGAGGATCCAGGTGAGGACTGGCAGGGTGGGCAGGGCCTAAGGCTTGGTTGGGTGGACATTAGGGGCCTGTCCTGAGCAGTCTAAAGTCTTCTGGGCTGGGCTTCTGCTAGATGGAATGGTTCCCATGTACCAGTGGCCCCCACATCCCACCCAATTAGGTCTCCCCTCCAGCTAGCCAGCACTGTTACTGCCCCTCATATGCCAAGCCTGGCTGCTGCAGCCTCATTTCCAGGCTCTCCCCTGGCATGAAGTAGGCTGTTGGGTTTCCCTATATAGGAGGCACATGGAGTTCATTCCCCAAGGAGATCCACTGGGGAATATCCACTGGTCACTGGAGAGTAGATAGCAGGCCAGACTATAGGTAGGTGTTGCTGAGGAAGGACCCCACAGTATTTGGGGTGTGCCCCCCACATTCACCTTCCTGACAGGGCCTCTTAGCCAGCTGCTCACACTCCACCCTTCCTATGTGGACCACTGTACAGTGCCCGCCCCCCAAACCCTACAGGCCATCTTGCCCCAGAGCTGGTGCAGGGGTGCAGACCTGAGCCCACCTCATCCTGCCGCAGCTCCACCCCTGGCCTTCCAGGGTGCCCTTCTCCCCACCCCCAAGCCAGGCCCTGAGCTGCCATGCGCTGCCCTCCCCAGCCCCAAGCCCACACCCGGGTCTCTCCCCGCCTGGATCCTGGCCCACTACTGAGAAGGGCAGCATGGTGGGAACTCCCTCAGGCTACCTGACCCCACTCTTCGTCTCTAGAGCTTCTGGAGTCCGGGCGTCTAGCTGCCACCCAGGAGGCTGCACCCACCCTCCTGCCTGAGGAGGCCCAGGTGAGCCCTGAACAGGCCGAGCCCCTCTCTCTCCCCAAGGAGCCTCAGTGGGTGGGGGCCGGATTGGTCCTCCCTGAGCCCAGCCAGGTACAGATGAGCACTGTGGTTTCAGGGCTGTGGGACAGTGCTGGACCAGGCCTCTCCCCACAGCGAGAATGGGCCTGAGGGGCCTTCATGGAGGGAGCATTCCAGGGCCCTGTGGCATGAGGAAGCTGGGGGCATCTTCTCCCCAGGTGAGTGAGATGGGATGGTGGGGCTGGGCCCTCACATGTATAGTACCATGTCCACTGACCCTACTCCTGGCCCTACCAGGCAGCCCTCTCTCGCCAGCACCCCCAAGGTCCCCCATTCTCTAGACCATCCCCTGCAACGTTCAACCTGCTCTAGCATCTTCTGCCCTCAAAAGCCAAGCCTGCTATTGATTCCATGGCCCCTTTAGCTTCTGCTCTCTACCACAGTAAAACCTCCTGAGAGTGGGGCCTATGTTTCCCACACCCACATCCTCTCCCAGTCCTGGCATCCTGTATGACTCCAGACTCTGAGCTAGCTTCCTGCTGTTTGACATTGGGGCAGGGAGGGTCAGGACCTGGCAAGGACAGCAGGTTAGTAGACAGGCAGGTGGGCAGGAGGGACCTCAACACAGGATGGGGATCAGGTGATGACAGACCAAGATCCTGCCCAATCACACAGGCTTCACAGGCCAAAGGCCCCTGCTGTCCACCTCAGCCACCACCCTTATCTGCTGTCATCCAGGCTCCCCCTACACACACACACCCCGTCTTCTGTTCCTTCCTGTTCCCCAGGCCCTGAATCTTCTCTTTTTTTGGTTTACTCCCTTGTTTTGGTGCAGTTTCCTGTGAATTCTGGTGTGGGAGACAAAATTCTGAGACATTATGTATCTGAAACACATTTGTGTAACCCTCAGCGTTAGACTAGAGTTTAGCTGGAAAAATTCTTTTTATTAACTCAGAGTCAGACTTTGTTTATCACTGTTGTTGGTGAACCCTTTCAATATGAAATGCTCATCTCTCAGTTGTGGGAAACTACCCTGCAATGCTTCTTTCATTTCCTTCCCCTCCATTGCTCTGTTCTCTGTTTCTGGAATGCCTATTACTTGGCTGTTGGCCTCTGGGCAGGTCTTCTAATGTTATCATTTCACTCCAGTTTTCCATCTCTTTCTCTTTCTGCTCTATTTTCCAGGAAGTTTCCTTACTTATATCTTCTAGATCTTCTCTTAAGATATTAATTTCTGCCAGCATATATTTAATTTCCAAGACTGGTTTTATTCTCTGAACATTCACCTTTATAGCCACTTCCTTTTGTCTTTTCAGGTACAATGTCTTTCCTTATTTCTTTGAGGACAATAATAACTTTGTTTTTTAAGTTTTCTTTTCCCAGTGTGACCTCTGTTCACCCCAAGTTGTTTGCTTATGTGTAAGACAAGGGGACCACAAATCTGGCTGGCATCTCTGAGCAGGTGGATGAGGGGCTTACTGACAACAAGCCAGGATTGGGAGGGGCATTGGGGGGGCCACTCCCCAAGGAGATCTACTTCCTGGGGGACATGAGTTGGCAGCTGAAGTATGAGTAGATGCTGCTGAAGGATCCGTTGGCCAATATGGCTAGACCATTTGGGGGTACTCCCTGCTGTGAGCATTCTCAAATCCTTCCTCTGAGTCCCCCAAGAGGGCACTTTCAGCCTCCTGCCAGCATCCCTGGAGAGGCTGACCTGAGCACACAGTGTGGCTGTTTACTCAGTCCCCCTGATTTTCTCAGTACTGTGTCCCACCCTCAAGACAGACTTCTGCCACGATGGAAGAGGAAATCCAGGAATCAGAGCCACAGCAGTGCACACTGTTGGCTAAGAATTCTATGCAAAGCCCATAGCAGCAGCCCTGCCCAGCATCTGCTTCTGAAAGCCTCCCCAGCCTGGTTGGTGCCCTGCCTCTTCACTTGCACAGCCAGAGGTACCTGTGCCTCTAGCTCCTGAGCTTTTAGAATCATCTTTGTAATAAAACACATAAATTTCTTTCAGCTTTCCCCACTGCTGGCTTAATATTCACTTTCTCCAGTCTGCTACACAGTTACTATCTGCACATCTTCTTTCCAGAGTAGAAAATGTCAGGGATTTTTGTTTATTTACTTCTCTTCATCTTTGTGGATTTTATGCCTTGAAACAAAAATTGTGGGGGGAGGGATGGCAAAAAAAAAAGAAAAAAAATTTTTTTAAGGTTTTTTGTGTTTTGTTTTGTTTTGTTTTGTTTTTAAGGATCTGAACCCGTGGCCTTGGTGTTATCAGCACCACTCTCCCAAGTGAGCCACAGGCCGGACCCCCAAAAAACTTTATTGTAGTTTTCTCTGGGGTTTCAGGATGGAGCAAACTTAGATAGATACCACTGTTACCCAGAAATCCCCATTTGCTATTTTTTTTTAATCAATAAGAATACTTTTTTCCCCCCATAATATTCTTGTTTTCTCTCCTTTGAGGATTTGGAAATACTTTAGTGTCCTTTCCAGACAGGTCAGTCAGCTCTTTATCCTCAGGTGCAAGTTCTCTCACTCGTTGTGTCATCGACAGCCTGACCTTCACAGCTCTGGTGGTTTCTTGTTTGCCCCTTCCCTGCGCATCATCCTAGGTGAGGAACTGCCACAGGGTCTGTCAGAACCCTAAAGTGGAAGAATGAATCACCTGGGTCCCCGGCCATTCAGTGCAGATGCCTCTGCCTACAACCCAGCCAGAAGCAAGCAGCTATTCCTGGCCAGATTGGTGGGTGAACTGGACTAACCCCATGAGCCACAGCTTCATGATGGAACCTGGCTCCAGTCCCGAGGTCCCGAGAGTTTTAGGGCTTCTTTAGAGCTCACTGCACCAGGGTCTTGACTCCTGAACCTCACCAACTCTTTCTTACTTCAGAGCCGCCCAACGTATTTTTAAAGCCCTTCTTACATTTTGTTGGCATTTCTGCATGTTGGAGCAGAGAGAATAGGATCCAACACATGCCCCTTCTGCTGCTCCAACCTTCAGCCTGCCCAGCCTATGCTGCATGGCTGACCACTTCCTCTTGTTTGGACCTGCTTCTCCATCAGTTCACAACCCCACAGTCTGGGCTTTCTTCCAGCCACACCGGCAGCAGTGCCTCAGGCTCCTTGGTGACTTCCTTCTCTGCAGCCTCATTCTTCTCGGGCTGCGCTCTCACTGTAGACAAACCACAGCCCCCAGCTTTGAACACGGATTCCCCCTGGCCACCTTGGTAACCCTGTCAGGTCTCCTGGCTGCTTTCTTGTCTCCCAACTGTGCCTCTTGTTTGCAGCCAGAGAGGTCTTTTTAATGTTTTCGTCATGAGAATATTTTCAGTAGCTAATATTCACGTTAGGAAATTCAAAAGGCACAAGAAACAATACAGTGGAATGCCCCACCTCTGCCTGTGCCACACAGTCCTGATGCCCGACAGCCAACGTTACTTTTCTTAGGTGTCACTCCAGAAAGATTCTGCACATAGAGGAGCAAACACATATACGTACATTTCTCTTTAAAACACGGGCCAGCCCATGGCTCACTTAGGAGTGTGTGGTGCTAACACCAGGTCCGCAGGTTCAGATCCCTACATAGGGATGGCCGGTTGGCTCACTGAGTGAGCACGGTGCTGACAACACCAGGTCAAGGGTTGGGATCCCTTTACCAGTCATCTTTTAAAAAATAAAATAAATAAAACACACATAGAAGGTTTGATCCCTGTTACCTGCCAGCCGCACACACACACAAAAACCACTCATGGATGCTTAATCTTCACCATGTTCCACGCCTGGCATTTTTTGCACATGTCCCCACTTCAACACATAGCAGCAAGCGCCCTGAATCTATGGATGGCTGCATAGAGCCCCACTGTGGCTCACTGTGGACACAAGATTGTTTATCCAGGTTACTACTGACATTCTTTTGGGTTGCTTCTCAGTAACGCACTAAGAAACCTTGTACCTAGGTCATTTAGCACAGGGAGGAACACAGGTGTTGGAGAAATACCTAAAAGTGGAATTACTGGGTCAAAGTGTGGGATATTTGCTGTTTTGATGGGTTTTGCTGCACTGGCTTCCCACTAGAAATGCTCACTAGAAATGCATATAAACACTTGGGTCCATGCAGTGAGGGTGTGGAAATGGCAGATGAGTTCAGCCCTAGTGTGCACTTTTTCTTACTAGGAGGAGACTGAGCATATTTATGGGACTTAAGCATTAGTTACGTTTCCTTTCCTGTTTACAGCCCATGTATCTGTCAGGTCATTGGTCTTTCTTGTTGACTTATTGAAACTCTTTACTTAGGTTAATAAGCTCTTTGCCTCTAGAGGGTTTTTCAGTCTGTCATTCGTCTTTTGACTCTGAGGTAGTTTTTGTTGATTTCTTTTGATACATTCTAACTTATCTGACTTTTCTTTGACAACTTATGGATTTTCTATCACCCACTAAAGCCCTCACTATTCCCAGTCTTCTTGAGTTAACCTCTTTCAGGCTTCCTCCTTCTCCAGCCCCTGCTTCTCAGTCGCCTTTGCTGACTCCTCTTTCCTCACCCAGCCTCTAATGCTGGAGTGTTCACAGCATGGCCGGGACCCAATACTCTACTCCATAGACACCTGCCCCTCTGTTGGTCACATCCAAACCCCAGACTAAAGTCCAGTAGCCTGCATTCCCTGCCAGCACCCCCGCCATCCGTTTCTGTTGGCTCCACCTCCAGCCTCCCCACCAGCCACCCATTTCTCTGCCTTTAAGGAGACCATCATTGCCCTCCTAGACCCTGTGAGGACTGCCTTCCCCCACTACTGCCGTACAGCCCTTCCAGAAAGAGGTGATTTGTTTCAACTTGAGTTAGATCCAGAAAGATTTTTGCACAGCCCAGTCTTCATTCTCATGCGGGGCTCTGTCCTATTGTCACCTCTTCAGGAAAGCCTGCACAGATGGTATCCCTGGCCCCACCCTTGTCACCTCTGTCTGCCTCACTGGTCAGTTTCAGGTCCTTCTAGTTCACAGTGTCCACAGGGCTGAAGTGGGTCGGGCACAGTGGGCACTCAGTCGTGAATGAGTGGGTCCCTTGTGCACGCAGGATTTGCTCTCCAGATGGACAGCGTCTCCGCAGGCCCAGGTACTGTGAATCCCCACCTCCACATCCCCTGGGACCTCGGCATGGCTGGCCTCTCAGGCCGGATCCAGTCACCCTCCCACGAAGGTGGCTTAGCGCATGCGCTCATGCTTCCCAGCGACCCGGGAAGTGAGCAGGACCCCACGCATGAGGATCCCCGCCGGAGCGTGGGTCCCACACTGGTCACTGCCCGCTGGCGCGCTCCCAGGGGCCGAAGCCGGGGCCGGGGTCGCCCCAGCACTGGGGCTGGGGCGGTTCGGGGCGGCCGTTGCGATGTGTGTGGCAAAGTGTTCAGTCAACGCAGCAATCTGCTGAGGCACCAGAAGATCCACACGGGCGAGCGACCATTTGTGTGCGGCGAGTGTGGCCGCAGCTTCAGCCGCAGCTCGCACCTGCTGCGCCACCAGCTCACGCACACCGAGGAACGGCCGTTCGTTTGCGGAGACTGTGGCCAGGGCTTCGTGCGCAGCGCGCGCCTGGAGGAGCACCGGCGCGTACACACCGGAGAGCAGCCCTTTCGTTGCGCAGAGTGCGGCCAGAGCTTCCGCCAGCGCTCCAACCTGTTGCAGCACCAGCGCATCCATGGCGATCCCCCGGGTCCTGGCGCTGCGCCCCACGCCCCTCCCGGCGTGCCTGAGCCCCCAGGCCCCTTTCCGTGCAGCGAGTGCCGCGAAAGCTTCGCGCGGCGCGCCGTTCTGTTGGAGCACCAGGCGGTGCACACGGGAGACAAGTCCTTCGGCTGCGTGGAGTGCGGCGAGCGCTTCGGCCGCCGTTCGGTGCTGCTGCAGCATAGGCGGGTGCATAGCGGCGAGCGGCCTTTTGCCTGCGCGGAGTGCGGCCAGAGCTTCCGGCAGCGCTCCAACCTCACGCAGCACCGGCGGATCCACACCGGCGAGCGGCCCTTCGCCTGCGCGGAGTGCGGTAAGGCCTTCCGCCAGCGGCCCACGCTCACGCAGCACCTGCGCGTGCACACGGGCGAGAAGCCGTTTGCCTGCCCCGAGTGTGGCCAGCGCTTCAGCCAGCGTCTCAAGCTCACGCGCCACCAGAGGACACACACTGGCGAGAAGCCCTACCACTGCGGTGAGTGCGGCCTAGGCTTCACGCAGGTCTCGCGGCTCACCGAGCACCAGCGCATCCACACTGGCGAACGGCCCTTCGCCTGCCCCGAGTGTGGCCAGAGCTTCCGGCAGCACGCCAACCTCACCCAACACCGGCGCATCCACACGGGCGAGCGTCCCTACGCATGCCCTGAGTGTGGCAAGGCCTTCCGCCAGCGGCCCACACTCACGCAGCACCTGCGCACCCACCGGCGAGAGAAGCCCTTTGCCTGCCAGGACTGCGGCCGCCGCTTCCACCAGAGTACCAAGCTCATCCAGCACCAGCGTGTCCACAGTGCAGAGTAGCTCCGGTCAGGACACACTGCGACCACTTTGGTCAGAACACCTACCTCACAGGGTTGTTGTGAGGCCAGCGATCGCTTAGGTACAGACAGACAGGCTGCCCAGGGCCTTGCCCCCAGTAGGTGCTCAATAAACAGTAGATGGAAACTGGGTCTCCGTCCACTCGTGCCTCCTCATCTGCGCAGCCCCCACCATGACCACTCCAGTACTGGTGTGCTCCCTCTGCACCCACGTGGTTTTCTTTTTTCTTTTCTTTTTTTCCTGAAAGACGACAGGTAAGGGGATCTTAACCCTTGACTTGGTGTTGTCAGCACCATGCTCAGCCAGTGAGCGAACCGGCCATCCCTATATAGGATCCAAACCCGTGGTCTTGGTGTTATCAGCACCACACTCTCCCCAGCGAGCCACAGACCGGCCCTCCACGTGGTTCTTTCAAGGGCCATGTCCTCTCTCACTCCATTCCCACCCCACCCCTGCCGCAGAGGTGGCTCCTAGAAGCACCTGCTCCCGTCTTAGGGATGGCCCCTGTACCATGCCTCTCGCTTACACAAAAGGGTATGGCCCAGCAGTAGGTGGGGCAGAGCAGCCCTGGGCAGCAGTCCTCAGTTCCCTAGACCCAGAGAAAAGGAAGTGTTCTCTGTGGCCATCTGCTGATAGCCTATATGTGTGTAGCATGGTGCCATGACTGATCATCACTCAGGGACAAGAGACAGAGTCACAGGAAATGTTTTTGCAGATCTGCTACCTAGGTATTATGGGATGGAGCTGTCACAGAGTGGGAAAGGTGAGCACTGCTGGGAGCAGCTAGACCCCTAGGGCTAGAGGAACAAAGGGAAGGATTGCAACTTAGAAGTTCCAATGAGTTTCCCATGGAGCTGAAACTCAGGCCCTTAAGGAGGGGCTGCTGCCAGGCTGGTCCAGGGGTCTCAGCTGGCAGGGAGGCCCTGTGGGCCTGGGACCCAGACCTCTGAGGAGAGGGTACTGCTCAGCTGGTCCTGAGGTCTCTGGACTCAGAGGAGGGTGACGCATGAACCTAGGATGAGACACTGGTGTGGGTGTCTCTGAGGGGCCCAATGAGCCTGGTTCTGGGAGGTATATAAAAATCTCTGCTCCTGAAGGACCTGCTGCTGCCGGGACGAGGAGCAAGTGTTTTCTCCCTTCCCAGCCCTTGTGGCACTCTCTCCCTAACAGAGCTGCAGGTGAAAAGGGGCATATTTGTAGAGTGCTTGCCCTGCACAGTGATTCCCAAGTGGACAGGTCTCGAGCCCAGAGGCAGGAGCTTAACCGAAGCCCAGCCCTTGTTTCCAAGAACAGCTACTTGAGGCTTGTTTGTCCAAGCTTCTTCCGGGGATGTGGCTGGACTTTCCCTACCACTCTGAGGCACCCTGATCCCCAAGACTGGGTCCCTGACCTCAGAGAAAGATGACAAGCCAGCCTGGGCCAGAGGCCATTCCTGTGTGGCACAGCGAGGGGTTCCCTGGGCCAAAATCTGCAGAATTAGAGGAGTCGTGACTGGGCCCTTCAGCGGGCAAGTGCTACCATACTATCTGCAGGGCTGAGGGACTGGACAGAAGGACCACCCAGCTCCACAAAGACACAGCCACTGACTCTAGGAAATCCATGAAAGGTATCCAGTAAGGGAACCTCCAAGGCCCTGGTGTGGCCAAAATAATGAATGGGCCCAGCCAGCCTGTCCTTGGATCATCTGCACGTGAGGCCAGACTGTTCCATCCCAAGCACAGCACCTCTCCTCCGAGTGCCGCATCTATCCAGTTATTCTCACCACAACCCCAGCCTCCCTGATTCTATTTCTCTCCACTCCTCAGCATTGCTCCAATCCCAGCTACCCATCTCTGCCCTGGTGGTCCAAGGCACCTCCCCTCATCCTCCCTTCCCTGCCTGCTCCTGCCCCTTCCTCTCCAAAATGGACTCTGTCTTCCCAATGTCGGCTCCCAGAAACTACACTAATGCCCACAGCTGCACTTCCAGTCTCACTCCTCGCCCACTACACTCTGCCAAGTCCCTCTGAGGTGCTGGCCCTGGCTTCCCTCAGAGCCTTTGCACATGCTGAGTCCTGTGCTGCCTTCCTAGAAGCAGCGGACCCAGGGGCTACAGGAACCCTGTTCCCCAAGCCACCTGACTCCTGTGCCCCTCCGTCACTTGGATGGCTGTAAGGGTGAAAAGGAAGACACAGCAGCACCACATCCAATCCAGGCCCCGGATTCAGTTCGACATCCCCTCCCCCCTGGTCTGGACTCCACGATCTTCTTTATCTCAGCATGTTGTTGAATGGTTGATGGTCTTTCCCCACTGGATGGTGAGTCTTGAGGCCTGATGGTCTTTCCCCACTGGATGGTGAGTCTTGAGGCCAGAGACCACAAAAATCCAGCTTTGGCTAGTCCAGCATCACCTCTCTGGGAGACCAATACCCCATTCCTAGATGGGCCTTCAGCAGATGGGCCTCAGCAGCTGACCCAAGTATGGACCCGTGGACCAGGCTGGACAATAGGAACCATTCCTGAGACTAGATGGAAACAGCAGGATATTCATCAACCACCACGTAGAGATGGCCTGTATGAAAATAATCAGCACAGAACAAGATGGCTGAGAAAAGAGAGGAAGGGAGATAGAAAGAGGGAGACTGAGTCTGGAGGGGCCCTCTGAGCCCCAGAACCATCCTTGTGTGAAGCCTGAGGAAGCTAGGACAGTTGAAGTCATGTTTGGCCCCAAACTCAAGCTGTTTGAGGCTTCTGAGCCCCTACCTCACCCCAGACCTCTCCAGCACCAGCTTTCAAGGGTAAAGGCAAGAAAGGGCGTCCGAGTGGCTCCGCCGAGGTGAGGACCGCGGGCCCGGGAGGGGTCGATTAGTAATTTCTCAGATGGCGAAGGAAGGGCCCAGGAGGAGACCTGCCTGACCCCACCACGGTCCCCCCTGGACTGCTGGGACCACGTCTCCCACAATGCCCCGGGCAGTGACGGCAGCCGCCACGGTAACTGTAGGGCCGCCCCCTGCTTACCGCCCCCACCGTTTCCGTGGCGACGGCCGGAAGTCGCTCGGCCGCAGGGCGCCGTTTCCTCCCGCCCTCCGAGGCATACTGAGCTGTGATTGGAGGGGAGCCCCCATCCCGCGGTCTTGACAGCGGTGGACAGACGCAGAGGCCGCCGTGCGTCTCCACTGGAACCTGGGGCCTGCGCCCAGTGCGCTAAGTGTCCACCCCGGAGAAGTCTTCCCCTGACCTTGAAAACCTCCACAGTGCTTACCACCCTCTGGCACAATACATGTTTTATTTGTTAGTTTAACTCAATCAGAATCTCCATGAGTGGGGATTTTTGTTTGGGTTTGCAATGGGACACTGAGGCTCGACCCCGCACTCTCTGGGCAACGCCCCTGGCCTCGCCCAGGCTCTAGCCTTCCGTGATCACCCTGCCTTTGTGACCTCCAGGGTCAAGGACTTTGCCTGACCCGCCCCCACCGCGCTCGGCACATAGTGCAACATAGCGTGGACTGACTGCGAAGCGGCCCCCATCTGCCCCACTCAAAGATGGAAGCCAATACCGCTTCCTGCCCGGTCCAGCGAGTGTTCCCGGAAGTAACCGCGAGACTTCCGAATCGTTATCTCCATGAACGGAAATATCCGATCCTAGGCGAAATAGCCCGAACTCCAACTCCATCGCTGAGCAACGCGGGTCTGCGGCGACTGCGCAGGCGCCCGGCCTAGGCCGGGCGGGAAGAGCCGAAGCGGGCAGGCAGCGGAAATATCCGAAGCGGTGGGGTGCCCGAGGCCGTTGCCGACCTTCGCGCCGAAGCCGCTGCTGCCGCGGAAACCTAGCCTCCTCCGGTGCACGGCCGCCGCCACCGTCACTGCTGCGTACTCCCTTCCCGACGTAGTGAGCTGGCAAACTGTGCGGCCGAGAAAGCCCCGCGTCCGCAACCACAACTGGGCCTAAGGAGACCTGAGCGGGCGAGGGTTGGGAGGAAGCAGCCGAAGGAGGC